TAAACCCCAAACCCTAGACCCGAAGCTTTCGATCCTAAGCCTCGAGTCGCAGCCAGGCACGTTCATCGCGCCCATCCTTCGCTCCCAGCAGAGGCTGAACACATTCAGGATGAAAGGCGCGCTGCCTGGGAAGTTCTGGAGAATCTGCTACATGAGCTATAGTCTAAACTCCTTAAAGGGGGTTATACAAGGGATTATATAGGGGACTACTATAGGGTGTATTAAGGGGGGATACTAGGAGTTTAGACTACAGCTCACATGTTGGTTGTTCTAAAGGTCCTTGCAAAGGAGACACCGCTGGGAATACACTTCCTTAAAACGGGATCCTAACCAAACAGATAACCTACATTATGGTTTTTTTTGGACTGTATGTTCAACAACTATCACATAATTCTGGGGGCTATATAGGAGTTTTACAGGGTTTGGGGTGTAGGGATATGTTCCCAGTAATGGAGAGCCAAATGGATCATTCGTTTGTTTTAGAAATTTCTGCATGACCTTAGTATGCTATAGTCCCATAATGCTTCAGTTTAGGGTTTAGAAGGTCACCAAGGATTTGTAAACCCTAAACCCTAAACCCAACCATAGGAACTACTTAGGCGGGGCCCTAGAAGCTCGCAGGTCTTTGCGGGTGCCCTTCATCTTTTGTTGGGCCCCCACCTACTACTAGTGGTATACTAGGAATATATAAGGACCTTAGTATAATTACCATTGCCTCTCGTGGTCACTATTCGTGAGTCGGAGCCCAACCTAACATATGTCCATGAACCTTCAAGTAGCTTGGCAGGCAGTGCTCTGCAGTTCGACTCCAAGAGCAACTCCCTCTACGAGCCTCGGCCAAACTTCATCTTACTGGAGGTTCATAAGGAATAAGGGAACCCTATAATCTAAACCCTAGACCTGTATCATATAGGGATTATATAGGGACAGCAGTCCACTATTCCTTACGAAGATCCAGCGATTGGGACTAGTCATGGGTTGTTCGTGACATTCCTTTTCCTCCGTTTCCTACTAACAACCAGCAAGACTACAAATTAATCAGCTTCTGCCGTATGATGGATTCATCCCGGTTGCAATGGTTATCAGGGCAAGGAGTTTATGAAGTTGGGGCCGTACGTGAGTTGCCTGCACGATGCTTGTCGAGAGTTTTAGGGTCTAGGGTTTCGGGTTTAGGCTTGAAGAGAATGAAGGGCCCCAGAATGAGAAGGTATGCCCTCAACATTGGGGATTCGGCCCAAGACTGGCAAGACACCGATTTTGGAGAATTTGCCTAGATAGTCTTTACTCCCGAGGATGTAGCCCCTATAGGCCTATAGGCTCCCTACATAAAGCAGAGTGAGAAAGTAGAACCCCAAGCGCAAGACCCTACACCTGACAACCTACAAGGATCTCCACACTGAGAGGGCAGCAAAAGCACCCCAAACCCTAAAACCTAAACCCTAAGCCCTAAACCCTAAACCCTAAACCCTAGACCCTAGACCCTAAACCCTACACCCTAAACCCCACCAAGCCCTCAACCCCTAAACCCTAAACCCCAGGTCATGGGAACCTCCACGTGTTGCATCCCGGGTCGGACGGCTTTCACCTTGGCGGGGCAGAGGCTGATAAGGACTATAGCACATTGGGGGTCTATATAGTAGTTTTATATTGGGATAATGGAAAAGAAAATGGAAACTACTTTAGTATATTGGGGTCCATATTGGGGCTATATAGGGGTTATATAGGGGTTATATAGGGGTTGTATAGGGGTTATATTGGGGTTATGTTGGGTTATATAGGGGTTATATTGGGGTTATATAGGGGTATACAGGGTTATTATGGGTATATATAGGGCTGTATGGGGATGATGGAAAAGCAAATGGAAACTACTATCTTGTAATCGGATATATGGTAGTTTCCCTCAATGAGGGAACCCCAATATAGACCCCAAAATACTATACTCCTTATTATAGGGACCACCCCAAAAGGTATTTTTCGTTTTGTTCTTGGGAGTGGGGGTTAGTCGTGGGCGTAACGGTCCAATGCATCCCCAAGTATCATGTTCCAAAGCTGGGTAGCCTACAGTAACCCTAAACCTTCATAGTCCCCCTCAAGTACATAGAATGTAAGGTATATGGGGATCCTAGTGTATACCCAAAGCCATATTCTATCTAATTAAGGGGACTGTAACCTAGTAACCCCACCCCTTTAAAAGCCACTAGGATGCCAAAAGAGAGCTGCCGAATGGAACCGTAGCTGTAAAGAGAGTTGAGTTGACCATCAAATCCCAATGGTTGGGTTCAGGTGGTAGCTGAGACTTACTGGGGGTTAGTAGGGAAAACAGGAATCAGGTAGGGACTACATTCCTTTCTACCACCAGTAAAGTAAATGATCCCAGCGGTTAGGCTTTGCTGGGGTGTGTCTTCCAGTGTGCAAGCCAGAGACAGAGAGTCTGAAACATGATGAAGCTCCGAGACTCCACAAGCCGTTTGACACTCTTAATGCACTATTTGGGAGTATAGAGACCCATTGCTCCGTTCCTCATGAACAACCTAAACCCTTATAGGAATCCCTAAACCCTAAGCCCTTACCCCAAACCCTAAGCCCTAAACCCTAAGCCCTGAACCCTAAACCCTAAACCCTAACATTGAACTACAAAAATTTCAAACCCTTACCCTTGAGAAGCGCAGGGTGGATGGTGGGGACCCAGCTGGCTACGCTGGGAGCGACCCAAGCCTGGTTGTCTTCGACTCGGAGCTTAGGCACGCGGTTTAGGGTTTAGGGTTTAGGGCATTTTGTTGGCAAGAGCGGATTAGGTAGGTCCCTGGGATATTTAATATTTTCCTTAATGGCTTTAACAAGGGACCCTATGTACTAATATTTTTCAAGGGGCTTTAGGGGCCAACCCAGCGGTTTAGGGTGTAGGCTTTAGGGTTTAGGGTTTGGAGTGGATTCAGTTACAATGGGTTGCATGTTGGGTCATTCCCCATTACAGTAGCTGTCCATAACAGGGTCTTACTATTCTGTACTGAGGGGCTATTATACCTTTTATTGCCCATTGTGGTAATTGCTATTGCAAGGGGGAATGATCCACGTTAGATGGGGATTTCCTTATTAAACTCATTCTAGTACGGGTCCCTGTAGTAATTTCTCCAGTTTGGGAACAGTAACTTAGACCAAGTTCCACGTAGGGTGTTTAGAGGGATCCATCTAAGCAGGCAACCAGAGGCGGGTTAATTCAAATAGGCACTGGAACTGGACAGTCAGAGGTTATATGAGCAGGGCTTATTTCCCACTAATTTTGAGCATGCCTCGTCGAGCCCCAATATCAAATTTCTTAGAGGAGCCACTAGATTTGGGAGGACATGTTCCGCGTTCAAGGGGTGCGGGGTGTGTTTGTTGTTATAAAGGGACTTTATTGGGAACCCCAAACAGGGAACCCCAAGAATATAATCGGAATGTAATTGAATTGAAGGACCCTGGTAGGTATATTCCGATTATATTCCTAGTATATTCTTGGGGTTCCCTATTTGGGGTTCCCAATAAAGACCCTTCATATTAGGGGGAGCTGATGAATGGTGGGTTCAGGGTAGGAATCTATTTCTGAATGCTTGGGATGCAGGCGTGAGGTGTACCGGAGGCATTCAGCGGCTCTTACATATACTTAGCTTATACAACTCCCACAGGTTGACCAGTCCAAGCTTTGTATGGCCCCTAGACTCCAAAACTAGGTTTAAGAGCGCTACTTGACTCGCGTTGTCGGCCTGAATGAGCACATCTGGTCTTCATGAGGGAGATTCTGTGCCGTTAGTTGGAAGCCCTAGACCTCAAGCCTTATATAACCCTATCTTACCGCACATACTCCAGATAAAACCCAATATACCATCTTGGGGCAGATCTTTAGCTGGGATTAGAGGACTTTGAGTGTGGAGCTTACACATTTTTGGTGGAGTTGGTGCCAGGATAGAACCTTTTGCAATGCCATGCTGTGAGAACCACCCCGCTGGAGAAACCGTATCCACAGACCATAAACACCCCATCGAATCCCCCCTGAACCTTAAACCCTACATCCTAAGCCCTGAACCCTAAATTTTTAACCCTAACCCTAAACCCTAAACCTTACTCTATGCACCCTGCAAGGCAGCGCCGGGCATGGACCACATTTAGCCGCTGGCGCAACAAGGGCACACCGGCAGGCCCTGCAATCTATTCAAGCCTCCAGGATTTATTGTAGCATGTGAATACTGATGTCGATTTCAGGGAGTAGCGCTAAGCCCCACACCTCCTGGTCAGGTGATCTATGTGAGACTTGTTTTGCGAATCAGGCTTTCAGCGGAGGATGACGTGGTCAGCATTAGACTGAACAGTCGTGGTGGTCGTGGTGGAGGAGGTGGAGGTGGAGG